ATCAGCTCCCCCCCCAACAGCAACGGAAGCATCACATGTGCTTCCCCCATAGTAGTCAATTTCACTAGATGGGAGCCCTCCTCATGAGAAGCGCCTGGTGAAACACGTGAAAAAACATAACCTGCTGATGTTTCTGCTGCATATAAGAGAACGGGTGAGGATTCAGATATATGACGAGGACAAAGCCTTTGTGCCATGAGAGTGGGGGTGAGGGAGGAGGAAAATGAGGCGCTGTAGGAGGACTAGAGAGAGAGGGACTGGTTGAGAGTGAGAGAGTGCACGAAGGTGGAGAAAGGAGGGGAAGGGGAAGATGGATTTTCGCTGGTTGACTTGATGTATGAGGGGTGAGGGGGCGAATGAGAAGAGTGAGAGGAGGCGTAAGAGGAGAAGGAAACGAGCTTTCTTGAGAGAGCCTAGTTACAAGAGGGATATCGTATGTCGAGTGTAGGCACAGGTTTGGGCATGGGAGGTAGCCTCTGATGGTGAGGTGTTCAACCCAAGCCAGTCATTTTGAACGTAGGTGTTGTATGAGATGTAGAAGTTAACCTAGTAAGTAACATAGTTTAGCTACTGTTACGGGTGCAATGAATCGAAGTAGCGAGAATTGCACTAAGGTGTCAAACGAGTACAAAATGTGAGCGAAGGCATGAGCGAACATTTATACGCGAAACATGCAAACGGTAACGCGGTGCGTGCGAGCTAGCTAGTGCTACGCTGGCAGCGAGGCTCGGGCTAGTCCCGAAGCGTAGGCCGACACGGCCGGGCCAGCAGTGCGAGGTTTGGTGAAACAGTGCGCGCGAAGTCGGCGAAGCCCCGTTAGCAGTAACGGGCGAACAACGGCTGTTGCTGTACGCGATGTTGCAGGGTGCGCTAAGGAATATAGAGAAAATTCCTTACAGCTACCTGCATTGTACTTATTTGGATTCTACAGCTTGTGCCGCTTATCTGGGAGGTGCGCCTAGCTCCACAGTTGCGCTCCATCTCGCATGGCTACTTGAGGTCAAGGTTGCCGAAGCTCTTACGTTCGTTCGGTAAGTGTCAAGACAGTACATATCGACGGCTCACAAGATTGCAGTAAATCCGTACCTTCCATCGATGGCGATCACAGAGACACCACCAATAAGGCAACCCTTTGCGTTTCGGTCTCAACGGCAAGCGCAAAACCAACCACAATTGCGCCTCGACATATGCGATAGTCGATCACATATGCGACGCCTGCGACATTCGGAATTTGCAGACCTGCAGACCGTGAGATACAATTATGGGAAAAGATCATACAGGGGCCTAACAGTGCCAGGGAGGTGATCGAACAAGGGCCGAGAGGCCCGGAACTAACCAAACCACTGCGCAAAAAAGTATTTGCAGAGTGTCATCATTTATTTAACGTATGTCCGTTAACAGTTTGCATTCCAGCTCGCGCGTCATTTTTCATGGGAATATTTACTGATTCATCACCTTCCACCCAATAGCGTCGTTTAGCAAGCCAGAAACTCCTGGGGCAGCCAAAAAAACTAAAACCCCGAGGGGAACCTTGATGCAATTTCGGGATGGATCAACCCTAAAAACGGGAACCTTCGTTGTGTTTAGGGTTGATGCCTCCCTAGTCGCATCCATTTCCAAATGGGTATTTTTTTTTTCTGCGCGTTTCTGATCAGGGAGTGATATTTATCACCCATAATGAATTTGTTTTTGGACTCACAAATTAACACAGCAATATTTACTTCCAGAAGAACGCGATGTGCGCGTAGTAGTAGACGGTGGTCGTAACCATTTTTTCAATAAGTTGGACACGAAGTTTTGTGCTGGTAGCATTTCTCTTTCAGTCACGGTTCGGCTTGTTCGCCTAGCCTCTTGGGCAGCTCGGGGTAGAAATCCTACGGTCGAGATTTTCTGGCCCTACTTCGGTCATCCCTCTGGCACTCTTCGGCCCCAGTTTGATCATTTCCTCACAATTATAGTAAAAACAGGGGCTGCTGCGACAATCACCATCGTGGAAGGGGCGACGATTAGGTAAACGTCGCGCAACAAATGGTTCGCTTCAGTCGGGCACCCCTCCGAACCGAAGGTCGTGATGGCATGTGCTTCACAATGGCCCTTGCGTGCATGCGTCACGTTCGGTGGCGCATTTACGGCTCTGCGCAACTAGAAGCCAAAGTTGGCTTGGCTCTCTATTTATTCAGTCCACAACCACTCCCATCTAACCGTCTCCCACATTCATTCGGTGCCCAGCAGTGCAGTAACTGCTGACTGACGTTCTCGTCTGTTTCAATTTCGGAATTCCCACGTGAGTGCAGTTCACTTTCTTCACCGTGACTGCTAATACTAGTAATGGCTTCGCTCCTCCGACTGGCGGTCATATTGCTGACCGTAGCCAGCGCGTCCCTCCTTCACACGACTACGGCGGACCTCCTGCTGAGGCCAGAGCGCGTGCCTCGCGCGCAGTTCCGCATTCGCTGCAACTTCAGCCACGCGCTGCGGGATGACCCCATCGTCTTCCCTGGGCAGCCCGGCAAGTCCCACCTGCACGACTTCCTCGGCAGCACGATCACCAAAGCCGACACCACCGATGGTCAGTACTGCCAATGCCAAAGCTTGCTGGGATCACAAGGCTCGCTCCACCACTCAACACGAGCGCGTGCTGGTTTCTAATTTCCTCCCTCATCAAACCCCTCTTGACCGTTTCTTTCCTCCCATCGTGCCACGCGACAGCCAGGGCGCTGGTGGGCAGCAAGACAACGTGCGGGCTGAAGGCGGACTCAGCAGCGTACTGGTTCCCGTCCATGTTCATGCGCACCAACCAGAAGGACGCCAAGGGCCAGTACATCTACAAGCACGTGAGTCATGCCACGCTGAATAATTCACACGCTTGGGGGCGCACGTCGGGAAGATTTTGCAACATGCAAAAGGAGGAGCAGAAAAAAAACCAAAACAAGGCGGAAACCAAACGGAAACGTTATGTTCTCGATACCCTTCGCTCTTCGTTCATGTGCGCGTGGATCATTTTATTTTCTTCCTCCCCTCCCTTTCCACCTCCGCCCCTGTGCTGCAGTTAAAGCCCAACTGGACGCTCTTCTACTACCGCACGTCCGTCAAGAACCCGGAAACCATCATGCCCTTCCCGCGGGGCTTCCGGATGATCACAGGCAACCCATTCGCAGGATCTGTATGTTCCCCTCTCCCTTTTCGTCCTTCAAATAACATTTTGAGATTCGCAGTTTCTTGATTAAGCAATTTTGTCATTTTATAGAGAGTACTTGGTGTTCATTTCCCCTGCATACCGTCCCCAACTTCCCATCATTTTCTCGACACAGAAACAAGCTGACGACATGGCGAACGTGGAATGGTGGTGCGGCGCGCGCGGCAAGCACGGTAACGACTTCCCGCACCAGAAGTGTCCTGCAGGCGACCAGCTGATCGGCAAGATCAACTTCCCCGTGTGCTGGGACGGCAAGAACACCGACAGCGCGGATCACCGCAGCCACGTGGTGCACATCCCGCTCAACACCACGTGCCCGTCGTCCCACCCCGTGCCGCTGCCGCGCATCAGCATCAAGGTGTACTACCCCGTCGACACGGACCTCGACCTCACGTGGCCCGAGAACGGCGTCAAGGGCAACCCCGCTGTCTACCTCTCCACCATACAGAGCGGCGGCACGGGCAGCCCCTTTGAGTATCACAGCGACTTTATCAACGGGTGGGACCAGAAGGTGCTTGGCCGACTCGTGAGGAAGTGCATCAACCGCAACAAGAAGTGTCTCGTGCAGGAAGACAATCATGTGTAAACGCAGGAAAGCTGGGCGGTGGCATGTGAATGTGAAGGATGTAGTGGGTCTAGTGAGTTAAAATGTAGACTTGTTCACAACCTAGTGTGGGTGATGTTGGGAGATGCGTAGTCAGATGCGGGGTGTTTATGAAGGTCACGCACAGCTCGTGGGTGACGTTTCCTCTAGTCGAGTGATTTGGGAGGGGTTGGGTTGAGAGGAGGGAATTCATGCTGTGGCTCTGCTCATTTCGATGCAGTCCCGTGTGAACCCACCGCCCTGTTACCCATGTTCTCTTTGTTAATTCCTGCGTTTGTAGAGTTGTGAGGCATCCACAAGGTATTGAATATTTACATGAATTACAGATGAGATGTACTGAACTGCTTTGGATAAGAGTAATCGTGACTGTCATTCCACGTCAATCACAACGCTTTCCTCGCTGGAGCAGCACTTGGGATTCGCCGTAGAATGTTGATGACTCGCACCGCGAATGGAAACCGCAGCTTGAATCATCGGCGGCGCACCATCGTCAGCGGAATCATGCGTTGCGGTCTTCAACTCTTGGGGTTTCCGCCAGAGCGGAAAAACCTTCAGCGCATCACACCATCGGTGTCCAAAATTTCAGGGAAGATTCAAACGTTCAATATTCAGCCATGTTATTGTATGTGGGTCGGTCCTCAAGACGGATGAGGGCGATTGAACATATCTGGCCTACCATCGTGCACCCTACTCTTCCAGCTTGGCAAACATGGGTAACCCAAGAATCCACGCTCAGGGCGTCACTAACCTGGGCTGGCGAAACTTTTGTGCTCGTCTGTGTCGTCTGACTAGCCCCTGGCGACACTCACCGCTTTGACAATGGAAGGTTGCAGTGCGACTGTTTCCCATACATATCAATAGTCACAGATTTCAGTTACTACGTGGTATCCCAGTAACCTCTGTTTCCAGTTTGGTGTTCACTTTTTATGGAACAGCATCGAGTCGTCTGTCGCTTCCCGTAATTCCGCCCTTGCTTCAAATCCAAACTCCACCACACCACATCCCCTCGTAATTTTCCATTCTCATTTCGAGACCCAATCGGATCTGGCAAGCCTTCCAACTGCGTAGGCACTGCTGTTGCAATGGCGACTGCCACAATCAGCCCGCTCTTCGCGCATGCGCCTGCGGCTCTCGCGAGCAGTTCCGCCGCCTCGCCGCGAACTGGACTCAGAGCCTCGCCGTTCCTCCCGCGCCAGCGAGATGCCACAAGGCGCATCGTGCAATCACGTGGGGCAACCCGATGTGCAGTGGCTGACGTGGCAAGAAGAGAGGATGAGCGGAGCAACGATCAGCTGGGCGGAGATCTGCCTCAGGTGCGCGCGGGAAGCCATCGATGGCGCGCCAGCCTGTATGCATGACTAAACAATTCTGCTTCCGCGCCGCCACGGACATTCCTGGCATATTGCAAGGCGATTGGTCACACTTTAATGACACGTCACGAGGCGGGTTACATCTGTACGATGCAGGAAGGAGACGCCACTCTGTGCCATGCCTTGAATTCAGCTTCTCGCCTTTGCTGCCTTTTTATACGCTAATTCCGCCCCTAATCGACAATGATTTGGTGTTGGAATGTTTGCCGACTAAGAATCGGCGCGTGATTGGCCCCAATCCTGCTTTCCCAGGAGCAAGGTTCGCGTCTTGCACGCCAGCGGCCCTCAGTTCTTTCACTCCCCCTTCCATGCGCAGGCGGCCGATCAGTCAGCGCAGCTGGCGGCGGATCTGGCGGGCAACGGGTGGCGCAGCACGCGGCGCACGAAGCTGGTGTGCACCATCGGGCCGGCGTGCTGCGGCTTCGAGCAGATCGCGGCGCTGGCGGAGGGCGGCATGAACGTCGCGCGCATCAACATGTGCCACGGCACGCACGCGTGGCACCGGTAGGTCACGGCGCGCACGCGTGGCACCGAGAGGAGCCATGGCATGAGCGAGGGCTGAGTGGCATGGGTAGGGCATGGTGGATGGCACGGGCAGGACTCCCTGGCACAGGTGCAGCGATAGGTGACGCACGGGGGGCACTCGAATGGCTCGCTGCAATTGGTGTCCATCTGCCGCCCACCACCACCATCGCCACGCGTCCCGTCGCCGCGTTCCATCGTCCACCATCCATCCATACCCATCCATGCCCTTGCTGCCGCGTGCCCCCCCCTCCCCCCCTCCCATGCGCGCAGGCAGGTGATGGCGGACATCCGGCGGCTGAACGAGGAGCGCGGGTACAGCGTGGCGGTGATGATGGACACGGAGGGCAGCGAGATCCACATGAGCGACCTCCAGGGCGCGCCCTCCGCTAAAGTCGCGGTCAGTCCCACCCCCAGGCATGCCGTGGCGTGGCGTGGTGTGGCGTGGCGTGGCTTGACGCGTGGTGGCATGCATGGGTGTTGGAAAGGGGTTGGGAATGAGAGGGGCTGCTGTGGGACTGGAGGGCAGGGTCGCTCACAGGTCAACGGTCAACAGGTCAACATGTCAGCAGGTCAACAGGTCAACAGCCCCAGCCTGTGGCATCCGCAGCCCTCGCACACCTCCGTCACCGCTCCCTCTCACTGCTCCCACCGTGCCCGCCTCCCTTCGCTCCCTCCCACTCCGCCCTCGCCCCCGTCTCGCCACCAGGAGGACGACGTGTGGACGTTCACGGTGCGCAAGTTCCCCGACGGCATGGCGCTGCCGCCCAACACCGTGCACGTCAACTACGACGGCTTCATTGACGGTGCGTGCCTCACGGGTTCATGCGCGCACAAGTTCATGTGTTGCCTTGCTGACGTGGTGGGGGCGCCGCTATTGTGTGGACACCTTCCCTTTACTTCCTCCACCTTCTCTGCTCCACGCTCCCACCACCCCAATTTTCCCAATACCCATCGCTTCCGCCCTCCCCTCTCCCCCCCCCACCTCTCATCAGACGTGAGGGAGGGCGACGAGTTGGTGGTGGATGGGGGCATGGCGCGGCTGCAGGTGGCGGCGCGCATGGGGCCCGACGTGGTGTGCAGTGTGCTGGACCCGGGGCTGCTGCTGCCACGCGCCAACCTCACCATCTTCCGCAACGGCCAGCTCGTGCGCGCCACCAACGCCATGCTGCCCACCATCTCCTCCAAGGTCAGCCCCTTGTGCCACTCTGCACCACCATGCACCACTCTGCACCACCATGCACCACCATGCCCTGCCGTGGACAGCCATGCACCACCCTGCACCATGACTTGATAATCCGACCATGCATCATCCCTGCCTCTCACGCCCATCGCTGCTGCATTCTGTCCTTCCATCCCCCCCTCGCCATCCGTCCCTCCCCCTGTGGCAGGACTGGATAGACATAGACTTTGGAATAGCGGAGGGGGTGGACTTCATAGCCATCTCCTTCGTGCGCTCGCCTGAGGTCGTCACTCACCTCCGCAGCTACGTCAACGCGCGCTCGCCCTCCCGGTGCGTGCCGTGTGGTGGCTGTGGTGCAGGTGGGTGCAGCTGTCTCGACTCCGTTGCATCACACTCATTCACCCGCACCTCTCTCATCCACCTGTGCGCCGCCTTCCTCCTGGGTACCTGCCACCATAAGTTCACAGCACCTGCCTCTTCACCTCCTCACTTCCTCTCTCCGCTTTCACCCATCATCACCACACCCCCCTTCCTCACTCCCCTCCTCCGTCTTCCTGTCTTCCCCCAGCCCCATAGCGCTGATAGCCAAGATAGAGAGTGTGGAGGCGGTGGGGCGGCTGGAGGAGATCATAGCGGCGTCGGACGGGGCGATGGTGGCGAGGGGCGACCTGGGCGCGCAGGTGCCGCTGGAGGAGGTGCCGGGCGTGCAGCAGGACATGGTGGACATCTGCCGCGCCCTCAACAAGCCCGTCATTGTGGCGTCGCACCTCCTCGAGTCCATGATCGAGTTCCCCATCCCCACCCGCGCTGAGGTGTGATCGAGTTCCCCATCCCCACCCGCGCTGAGGTGTGATCGAGTTCCCCATCCCCACCCGCGCTGAGGTGTGATCGAGTTCCCCATCCCACCCGCGCTGAGGTGTGATCGAGTTCCCCATCCCCACCCGCGCTGAGGTGTGATCGAGTTCCCCATCCCCACCCGCGCTGAGGTGTGATCGAGTTCCCCATCCCCACCCGCGCTGAGGTGTGATCGAGTTCCCCATCCCCACCCGCGCTGAGGTGTGATCGAGTTCCCCATCCCCACCCGCGCTGAGGTGTGATCGAGTTCCCCATCCCCACCCGCGCTGAGGTGTGATCGAGTTCCCCATCCCCACCCGCGCTGAGGTGTGATCGAGTTCCCCATCCCCACCCGCGCTGAGGTGTGATCGAGTTCCCCATCCCCACCCGCGCTGAGCTGAGGTGTGATCGAGTTCCCCATCCCCACCCGCGCTGAGGTGTGATCGAGTTCCCCATCCCCACCCGCGCTGAGGTGTGATCGAGTTCCCCATCCCCACCCGCGCTGAGGTGTGATCGAGTTCCCCATCCCCACCCGCGCTGAGGTGTGATCGAGTTCCCCATCCCCACCCGCGCTGAGGTGTGATCGAGTTCCCCATCCCCACCCGCGCTGAGGTGTGATCGAGTTCCCCATCCCCACCCGCGCTGAGGTGTGATCGAGTTCCCCATCCCCACCCGCGCTGAGGTGTGATCGAGTTCCCCATCCCCACCCGCGCTGAGGTGTGATCGAGTTCCCCATCCCCACCCGCGCTGAGGTGTGATCGAGTTCCCCATCCCCACCCGCGCTGAGGTGTGATCGAGTTCCCCATCCCCACCCGCGCTGAGGTGTGATCGAGTTCCCCATCCCCACCCGCGCTGAGGTGTGATCGAGTTCCCCATCCCCACCCGCGCTGAGGTGTGATCGAGTTCCCCATCCCCACCCGCGCTGAGGTGTGATCGAGTTCCCCATCCCCACCCGCGCTGAGGTGTGATCGAGTTCCCCATCCCCACCCGCGCTGAGGTGTGATCGAGTTCCCCATCCCCACCCGCGCTGAGGTGTGATCGAGTTCCCCATCCCCACCCGCGCTGAGGTGTGATCGAGTTCCCCATCCCCACCCGCGCTGAGGTGTGATCGAGTTCCCCATCCCCACCCGCGCTGAGGTGTGATCGAGTTCCCCATCCCCACCCGCGCTGAGGTGTGATCGAGTTCCCCATCCCCACCCGCGCTGAGGTGTGATCGAGTTCCCCATCCCCACCCGCGCTGAGGTGTGATCGAGTTCCCCATCCCCACCCGCGCTGAGGTGTGATCGAGTTCCCCATCCCCACCCGCGCTGAGGTGTGATCGAGTTCCCCATCCCCACCCGCGCTGAGGTGTGATCGAGTTCCCCATCCCATCCCCACCCGCGCTGAGGTGTGATCGAGTTCCCCATCCCCACCCGCGCTGAGGTGTGATCGAGTTCCCCATCCCCACCCGCGCTGAGGTGTGATCGAGTTCCCCATCCCCACCCGCGCTGAGGTGTGATCGAGTTCCCCATCCCCACCCGCGCTGAGGTGTGATCGAGTTCCCCATCCCCACCCGCGCTGAGGTGTGATCGAGTTCCCCATCCCCACCCGCGCTGAGGTGTGATCGAGTTCCCCATCCCCACCCGCGCTGAGGTGTGATCGAGTTCCCCATCCCCACCCGCGCTGAGGTGTGATCGAGTTCCCCATCCCCACCCGCGCTGAGGTGTGATCGAGTTCCCCATCCCCACCCGCGCTGAGGTGTGATCGAGTTCCCCATCCCCACCCGCGCTGAGGTGTGATCGAGTTCCCCATCCCCACCCGCGCTGAGGTGTGATCGAGTTCCCCATCCCCACCCGCGCTGAGGTGTGATCGAGTTCCCCATCCCCACCCGCGCTGAGGTGTGATCGAGTTCCCCATCCCCACCCGCGCTGAGGTGTGATCGAGTTCCCCATCCCCACCCGCGCTGAGGTGTGATCGAGTTCCCCATCCCCACCCGCGCTGAGGTGTGATCGAGTTCCCCATCCCCACCCGCGCTGAGGTGTGATCGAGTTCCCCATCCCCACCCGCGCTGAGGTGTGATCGAGTTCCCCATCCCCACCCGCGCTGAGGTGTGATCGAGTTCCCCATCCCCACCCGCGCTGAGGTGTGATCGAGTTCCCCATCCCCACCCGCGCTGAGGTGTGATCGAGTTCCCCATCCCCACCCGCGCTGAGGTGTGATCGAGTTCCCCATCCCCACCCGCGCTGAGGTGTGATCGAGTTCCCCATCCCCACCCGCGCTGAGGTGTGATCGAGTTCCCCATCCCCACCCGCGCTGAGGTGTGATCGAGTTCCCCATCCCCACCCGCGCTGAGGTGTGATCGAGTTCCCCATCCCCACCCGCGCTGAGGTGTGATCGAGTTCCCCATCCCCACCCGCGCTGAGGTGTGATCGAGTTCCCCATCCCCACCCGCGCTGAGGTGTGATCGAGTTCCCCATCCCCACCCGCGCTGAGGTGTGATCGAGTTCCCCATCCCCACCCGCGCTGAGGTGTGATCGAGTTCCCCATCCCCACCCGCGCTGAGGTGTGATCGAGTTCCCCATCCCCACCCGCGCTGAGGTGTGATCGAGTTCCCCATCCCCACCCGCGCTGAGGTGTGATCGAGTTCCCCATCCCCACCCGCGCTGAGGTGTGATCGAGTTCCCCATCCCCACCCGCGCTGAGGTGTGATCGAGTTCCCCATCCCCACCCGCGCTGAGGTGTGATCGAGTTCCCCATCCCCACCCGCGCTGAGGTGTGATCGAGTTCCCCATCCCCACCCGCGCTGAGGTGTGATCGAGTTCCCCATCCCCACCCGCGCTGAGGTGTGATCGAGTTCCCCATCCCCACCCGCGCTGAGGTGTGATCGAGTTCCCCATCCCCACCCGCGCTGAGGTGTGATCGAGTTCCCCATCCCCACCCGCGCTGAGGTGTGATCGAGTTCCCCATCCCCACCCGCGCTGAGGTGTGATCGAGTTCCCCATCCCCACCCGCGCTGAGGTGTGATCGAGTTCCCCATCCCCACCCGCGCTGAGGTGTGATCGAGTTCCCCATCCCCACCCGCGCTGAGGTGTGATCGAGTTCCCCATCCCCACCCGCGCTGAGGTGTGATCGAGTTCCCCATCCCCACCCGCGCTGAGGTGTGATCGAGTTCCCCATCCCCACCCGCGCTGAGGTGTGATCGAGTTCCCCATCCCCACCCGCGCTGAGGTGTGATCGAGTTCCCCATCCCCACCCGCGCTGAGGTGTGATCGAGTTCCCCATCCCCACCCGCGCTGAGGTGTGATCGAGTTCCCCATCCCCACCCGCGCTGAGGTGTGATCGAGTTCCCCATCCCCACCCGCGCTGAGGTGTGATCGAGTTCCCCATCCCCACCCGCGCTGAGGTGTGATCGAGTTCCCCATCCCCACCCGCGCTGAGGTGTGATCGAGTTCCCCATCCCCACCCGCGCTGAGGTGTGATCGAGTTCCCCATCCCCACCCGCGCTGAGGTGTGATCGAGTTCCCCATCCCCACCCGCGCTGAGGTGTGATCGAGTTCCCCATCCCCACCCGCGCTGAGGTGTGATCGAGTTCCCCATCCCCACCCGCGCTGAGGTGTGATCGAGTTCCCCATCCCCACCCGCGCTGAGGTGTGATCGAGTTCCCCATCCCCACCCGCGCTGAGGTGTGATCGAGTTCCCCATCCCCACCCGCGCTGAGGTGTGATCGAGTTCCCCATCCCCACCCGCGCTGAGGTGTGATCGAGTTCCCCATCCCCACCCGCGCTGAGGTGTGATCGAGTTCCCCATCCCCACCCGCGCTGAGGTGTGATCGAGTTCCCCATCCCCACCCGCGCTGAGGTGTGATCGAGTTCCCCATCCCCACCCGCGCTGAGGTGTGATCGAGTTCCCCATCCCCACCCGCGCTGAGGTGTGATCGAGTTCCCCATCCCCACCCGCGCTGAGGTGTGATCGAGTTCCCCATCCCCACCCGCGCTGAGGTGTGATCGAGTTCCCCATCCCCACCCGCGCTGAGGTGTGATCGAGTTCCCCATCCCCACCCGCGCTGAGGTGTGATCGAGTTCCCCATCCCCACCCGCGCTGAGGTGTGATCGAGTTCCCCATCCCCACCCGCGCTGAGGTGTGATCGAGTTCCCCATCCCCACCCGCGCTGAGGTGTGATCGAGTTCCCCATCCCCACCCGCGCTGAGGTGTGATCGAGTTCCCCATCCCCACCCGCGCTGAGGTGTGATCGAGTTCCCCATCCCCACCCGCGCTGAGGTGTGATCGAGTTCCCCATCCCCACCCGCGCTGAGGTGTGATCGAGTTCCCCATCCCCACCCGCGCTGAGGTGTGATCGAGTTCCCCATCCCCACCCGCGCTGAGGTGTGATCGAGTTCCCCATCCCCACCCGCGCTGAGGTGTGATCGAGTTCCCCATCCCCACCCGCGCTGAGGTGTGATCGAGTTCCCCATCCCCACCCGCGCTGAGGTGTGATCGAGTTCCCCATCCCCACCCGCGCTGAGGTGTGATCGAGTTCCCCATCCCCACCCGCGCTGAGGTGTGATCGAGTTCCCCATCCCCACCCGCGCTGAGGTGTGATCGAGTTCCCCATCCCCACCCGCGCTGAGGTGTGATCGAGTTCCCCATCCCCACCCGCGCTGAGGTGTGATCGAGTTCCCCATCCCCACCCGCGCTGAGGTGTGATCGAGTTCCCCATCCCCACCCGCGCTGAGGTGTGATCGAGTTCCCCATCCCCACCCGCGCTGAGGTGTGATCGAGTTCCCCATCCCCACCCGCGCTGAGGTGTGATCGAGTTCCCCATCCCCACCCGCGCTGAGGTGTGATCGAGTTCCCCATCCCCACCCGCGCTGAGGTGTGATCGAGTTCCCCATCCCCACCCGCGCTGAGGTGTGATCGAGTTCCCCATCCCCACCCGCGCTGAGGTGTGATCGAGTTCCCCATCCCCACCCGCGCTGAGGTGTGATCGAGTTCCCCATCCCCACCCGCGCTGAGGTGTGATCGAGTTCCCCATCCCCACCCGCGCTGAGGTGTGATCGAGTTCCCCATCCCCACCCGCGCTGAGGTGTGATCGAGTTCCCCATCCCCACCCGCGCTGAGGTGTGATCGAGTTCCCCATCCCCACCCGCGCTGAGGTGTGATCGAGTTCCCCATCCCCACCCGCGCTGAGGTGTGATCGAGTTCCCCATCCCCACCCGCGCTGAGGTGTGATCGAGTTCCCCATCCCCACCCGCGCTGAGGTGTGATCGAGTTCCCCATCCCCACCCGCGCTGAGGTGTGATCGAGTTCCCCATCCCCACCCGCGCTGAGGTGTGATCGAGTTCCCCATCCCCACCCGCGCTGAGGTGTGATCGAGTTCCCCATCCCCACCCGCGCTGAGGTGTGATCGAGTTCCCCATCCCCACCCGCGCTGAGGTGTGATCGAGTTCCCCATCCCCACCCGCGCTGAGGTGTGATCGAGTTCCCCATCCCCACCCGCGCTGAGGTGTGATCGAGTTCCCCATCCCCACCCGCGCTGAGGTGTGATCGAGTTCCCCATCCCCACCCGCGCTGAGGTGTGATCGAGTTCCCCATCCCCACCCGCGCTGAGGTGTGATCGAGTTCCCCATCCCCACCCGCGCTGAGGTGTGATCGAGTTCCCCATCCCCACCCGCGCTGAGGTGTGATCGAGTTCCCCATCCCCACCCGCGCTGAGGTGTGATCGAGTTCCCCATCCCCACCCGCGCTGAGGTGTGATCGAGTTCCCCATCCCCACCCGCGCTGAGGTGTGATCGAGTTCCCCATCCCCACCCGCGCTGAGGTGTGATCGAGTTCCCCATCCCCACCCGCGCTGAGGTGTGATCGAGTTCCCCATCCCCACCCGCGCTGAGGTGTGATCGAGTTCCCCATCCCCACCCGCGCTGAGGTGTGATCGAGTTCCCCATCCCCACCCGCGCTGAGGTGTGATCGAGTTCCCCATCCCCACCCGCGCTGAGGTGTGATCGAGTTCCCCATCCCCACCCGCGCTGAGGTGTGATCGAGTTCCCCATCCCCACCCGCGCTGAGGTGTGATCGAGTTCCCCATCCCCACCCGCGCTGAGGTGTGATCGAGTTCCCCATCCCCACCCGCGCTGAGGTGTGATCGAGTTCCCCATCCCCACCCGCGCTGAGGTGTGATCGAGTTCCCCATCCCCACCCGCGCTGAGGTGTGATCGAGTTCCCCATCCCCACCCGCGCTGAGGTGTGATCGAGTTCCCCATCCCCACCCGCGCTGAGGTGTGATCGAGTTCCCCATCCCCACCCGCGCTGAGGTGTGATCGAGTTCCCCATCCCCACCCGCGCTGAGGTGTGATCGAGTTCCCCATCCCCACCCGCGCTGAGGTGTGATCGAGTTCCCCATCCCCACCCGCGCTGAGGTGTGATCGAGTTCCCCATCCCCACCCGCGCTGAGGTGTGATCGAGTTCCCCATCCCCACCCGCGCTGAGGTGTGATCGAGTTCCCCATCCCCACCCGCGCTGAGGTGTGATCGAGTTCCCCATCCCCACCCGCGCTGAGGTGTGATCGAGTTCCCCATCCCCACCCGCGCTGAGGTGTGATCGAGTTCCCCATCCCCACCCGCGCTGAGGTGTGATCGAGTTCCCCATCCCCACCCGCGCTGAGGTGTGATCGAGTTCCCCATCCCCACCCGCGCTGAGGTGTGATCGAGTTCCCCATCCCCACCCGCGCTGAGGTGTGATCGAGTTCCCCATCCCCACCCGCGCTGAGGTGTGATCGAGTTCCCCATCCCCACCCGCGCTGAGGTGTGATCGAGTTCCCCATCCCCACCCGCGCTGAGGTGTGATCGAGTTCCCCATCCCCACCCGCGCTGAGGTGTGATCGAGTTCCCCATCCCCACCCGCGCTGAGGTGTGATCGAGTTCCCCATCCCCACCCGCGCTGAGGTGTGATCGAGTTCCCCATCCCCACCCGCGCTGAGGTGTGATCGAGTTCCCCATCCCCACCCGCGCTGAGGTGTGATCGAGTTCCCCATCCCCACCCGCGCTGAGGTGTGATCGAGTTCCCCATCCCCACCCGCGCTGAGGTGTGATCGAGTTCCCCATCCCCACCCGCGCTGAGGTGTGATCGAGTTCCCCATCCCCACCCGCGCTGAGGTGTGATCGAGTTCCCCATCCCCACCCGCGCTGAGGTGTGATCGAGTTCCCCATCCCCACCCGCGCTGAGGTGCGCCTTCCTGTCCCTGCTGCACATTGTTGCATGCAACCACCCTGCAAATAACAACATGTCACCGCCATGAAGCCGTGGCTCCCAATTGGTGCTCAATTGCAGCGCAAGGTAAAGTGTTGGCGCTGTTGGTAGGAAAGACTTCTCCCACCCCCCTATTCAACTAGTTTCATTTTCCCCTATGCTCTTCTCTCTCCTCTCTCCCCTCTGCTCCTTCCCCACCCCCACGCCCCCCTGCGTGCAGGTGGCGGACACAGCGGAGGCGGTGCACCAGCAGGCGGATGCGCTGATGCTGTCGGGGGAGTCGGCCATGGGGCAGTTCCCCCTCAAGGCGCTCGATGTGCTGCGCACCGTGGCAGTGCGGTTTGAAGCCATCGAGGAGGGGCAGGGGGGTTACGGAGAGGGCCCGGGTGCGGCGGCCATGGACGGGCACACAGCGGTGGAGCGCGTGGCTCTGCTGCCGGAGCTGTCGCACTCGCTGCGGGATCGCATGTCCGAACAGATCTGCGCCGCTGCCGCCCAGATGGGTGCGTGTGGCCCGACTGCCTGTGCGCAGGGGGTGGTTGGTGATTGCAGCGTGGAGGGTGCATGGGTTGTCATCCCAGGGATACACTCAACTGCACATGTACCCCACACTACCTCAATACCTTCCCATTCTCTCCCTGTGTTCGCCTCCTCTCGCCATTCTCCCCCCTCCCCGTGCCCACTCTGTGCAGCCATGCGTCTGGGGGCAAAAGCTATTATCGCCTTCACCCAAAGGGGCTACATGGCGTCATTGCTCTCGCGCTGCCGCCCCAACTGCCCCATCTTTGCCGTCACTCCCTCCCAGGTACGCCCTCCCAGGTACTCCCTACCCCTGTTGCAACGTATCTTGTATAGATGCCTTGCAATGTGCTCTAACCAACTTCCACCTGCCTCGTTCCCCTCCTGGGCTCATCGCGTTCACCTTCCCGCTCACCCTCCCCGGCCCTGTCCTGCTCAACCCCGCACCCCCCCACCAGGCGGTGAGGCAGCACATGAGTGTGTATTGGGGCCTCGTGCCATTCCGCCTCGACCTCTCAGATGATGCCGAGGACAACATGCGGCGAGCCTTCGCCGTGCTCAAGGTGGGTGAGCCTTCGCCGTGCTCAAGGTGGGTGAGCCATCGCTGTGCTCAAGGTGGGTGAGCCTTCGCCGTGCTCAAGGTGGGTGAGCCTTCGCCGTGCTCAAGGTGGGTGGGGCAGAGGGGCAGGGCAGGCGGTGAGGTGTGCGAGCGTGAGGTCTACAAGCGTGAGGTCTACATGATCCACGGGATGACCCTGCCTTCACACGGCGGGTCTGAATCTGCTGTGCCGAACGAATTGCAGGGATTGAGTCCAGCACTCTATGGTCCTTGCACTCCACCTCCCTCTCTGCCTTGCACTTCCCTCCCCTCCTCCCTCCTCTCTGCCACTCTTCGCCTCTCCCTCTCACAGCACCACGCCGTTTCCCTCTCTCAGCCACTCCCCCACCCCTCTTGTACAACCCCTCGCGTCCCCCCCGCCCCATCCCGTCCCCCACCCCCCCAGGCGAGAGGGCTGGTGGCAGAGGGCGATCTCATCATCGCCGTGTCTGATGTGGCGGGCGGGCAGGAGGCCGTGGGGGCCAGGCAAAGCGTGCAGGTCCGCAAGGTGCTGTGACCTGCTGTGCGGTGCTGTGAAAGTGAGGCACACACGCGCCCGGGCAGGGACCTGCTGTGAGGTGACACCCTTGGTGGGCGTCTCTTTTTATGTGCTCAGTTGGGCGTCTCTTTTTATGTGCTCAGTTGGGCGTCTCTTTTTATGTGCTCAGGTGGGCGTCTCTTTTTATGTGCTCAGGTGGGCGTCTCTTTTTATGTGCTCAGGTGGGCGTCTCTTTTTATGTGCTCAGGTGGGCGTCTCTTTTTATGTGCTCAGGTGGGCGTCTCTTTTTATGTGCTCAGGTGGGCGTCTCTTTTTATGTGCTCAGGTGGGCGTCTCTTTTTATGTGCTCAGGTGGGCGTCTCTTTTTATGTGCTCAGGTGGGCGTCTCTTTTTATGTGCTCAGGTGGGCGTCTCTTTTTATGTGCTCAGGTGGGCGTCTCTTTTTATGTGCTCAGGTGGGCGTCTCTTTTTATGTGCTCAGGTGGGCGTCTCTTTTTATGTGCTCAGGTGGGCGTCTCTTTTTATGCGCTCAGTTGCATGCTGCATGCTGCATGCGGCATGCTGCAGCAGGGAGGGCAGGGGGGAAGCCAGCCGGTACTGCAAGCAGCCGTCACACGCTCCTCTCCACCACAGGCTGCCGTCGGCTCTAGGCTGACGGCCTAGTGTGGCACTGCGGCCATCCAGCCGTATGGCTTGCTGGCCGTGCTATGTAAGTTCAATAATGGTGGGAAAGTGATTCTTCCTGGTTTGTTAGCAACGGCAGTTGATTCAAAGCGTACTGCCTCTAGCCGTACAAATTGGTGTAGTAGGTGAACTGAAGTGCTTTAGTCTCAATGCTTGTCCATGATATCAAGAGATAGGTTGTGCACGACACAATGCTGTGACATACATACAGCTTGAGAGAAGTTACATTACATGATAGACATTCCAGAATCCCCACCTTCCCTTCTATGGCACTCTGAAACCCCAACCATGTTGTCAATGCCCTCAAACCGAGGCTTCAGAATTGTTACTGTGTGTTATAAATGAAGAAATTGAAGTGACGCAGGCCTCAGAAGTCAGCGAAAAAAGGCTGATTAGTGGTAAAAAGGTAAGGATTTCAGTGCTAGGGATTTAGTGGGGCTGATTTGTCAGCTTTTTTTGTATTGTATGGGCTGATTTTTCATACTTTTTTTCTTAGTATGGGCTGATATTTCAGAGTTTTTTTAGAGGTGTACACTGACAGATCTGCGTTGTAACAGGGATGTAGGCTGAAATCCCACTAGTGGAGATTCGTGTAGTGCCGAAACCCTCTGACGTATCGGATATTTTACCAAAACTTGCCTGACCAATCAAATGGCACGAATGTACAATCTAGTTTCTGGTTTATGGATGCAAGTGTTCTACTTGACTCGTCACTGCAGATTCGCCCTGACTCAGCAAATTCGCCCTGAGACAGCAAATTTGCCCCAACAGAGAAGATAATCGCCCCGTCAGAGCACAACAAATTCGCCCAATCACAAGAAATTCGCTCTGACACAGCATGTTTTACCAGAAATTCGCCCAATCACAGGAGATTCGCTCGGATTCACCATGCCGCGCGCACTGCTGTCGCCGACAGAAGGTATCTTCGTATATGAAGTTGTAGGCACGTCGTGTGCACCGTTGGAAGCACGTCGCGTGCCCTTTTCTCAATGCCACACTTTGAAATTGAATGACTGTGTTACGCTATAGGAAAGCTTGAAGTTATGTTCAGCCTTTCTTTTTAAGCAAGGCTGAATGATCAGCCATTTAACTAAACTAAACACTGAAATTTCAGCTTTTTTTTTCAAGGCTACCCTGATTGATCAGCCTTCATCTCACTCCTAAGGCTGACGATTCAGCCTAGGCCAAAACGAATCTGAGGCCCTGCGCAGCACACCCATTTAGATGAATCCTTCCAGATAATCCATGCCTCTAGTTGACCTTCGGTTTGATCTTCCTCTTGCGCAGCAGCACACAGAGCAGCAGCAGCAACAGCACGGACAGGCAGCAGAGCAGCGGCAGCAGCCCTCCTCGCCCCACCTGCAGGCGCCGCTGCTTGGTGCAGCGAGCCGGGTGCAGCAGCGCCACCACCTCCCGCACCTCCCCCTCCCACCTGCGTGTGTGGGGTGGGGTGGCATGGGGTTTGGTGTGGCAGAGTGTGGTGGGGTTACAGGAGAGAAAAAGGGTAACGATGATCCAGGCCCAGGGCAAGGAGGTGGGAACGGGCAAGGGGAGCAGGAGCAGCAGCACACACATAACACACCGCACACGCCAAGCCCCTCGCCTCTCATCACAGCCCCATCACCCTACCACCATACCTTGCAGCAGCGGTCTCAATGCCTGGCAGCAGGTGCAGCGCGCCCCCATAGTCCATGGCCTCCACTGCTGCCGCCACTCGCCGCCACCCCTCCACCACCGCATTGTACTGCCCCGCTAGCTGCCGCTCCCACCGCTTGAACACCGCATATGTGTCCTCGTCTGATTGGATGGGAGGGAGGGCATGGGGAGAGGGGTATGGACCGTATAAGACAGTAGCCATGAGTGTAGTGGAGGTGAGAATGAAGGAGCGCGGATGAGAAACGGGTGACACCATGCAAGAACAAGGACGGGAAATGACGGTGCGTGCGGGGAGAGCAACAGCATCCTGGCAGCACACCACTCAGCACACCTAACGAGCCACACCATACAAACCACACACATGGCAAGAGTGGAGGCGGAGCTCTCACGGGTGGTCTCAGCAGTGAGGTGTGCAACGGCACGGTTGACAGTGGCCACGGCCTCGTCCAGCGCCGTCACAACCAACGACCGCGCCATGGCATCCCGCTGCACCTCCGAGATGTGAGCGCTGCTCGCCCCTCCCCCGCCCAGCAGGCCCCCGCCTATGGCTGCCAAGGGATGGCCCCCTGCCGCCCACCGCCAGTCCTGCATGGGTGCAGTGCGGTTGAGAGGTGGTGGATTGTGGTAGGGTGAGCTTAGGAGGTCAAGGTAGACATGATGAGCTCCTCTGAACTGTGCCAACCTGAGAGAACCACCACATGCAAGCCAGCACAGGAATCATGAAAGCCAGCACAGGAATCATGAAAGTCAGCACAGGAATCATGAAAGCCAGCACAGGAATCATGAAAGTCAGCACAGGAATCATGCAAGCCAGCACAACATCACATGCGAGGCAGTAGGGTAATGACCTGAACGACAGCGGAGTGGGCGGCGGAGAAGGATATGTGAGCTGGCAGCAGCCCCGCCAGGTGCTCCATTGTGGCCGCTAGCACTGCCGCCAGTGGGTCACTGGGAAGGGGAAGGAGTGGGGAGGAGTGAGAAGTGTTGGCATGTCGTCATGGTGCGCACAGGCCGGCCAGCTCGCAGCTGAGTGCAGCACAGAAGCACAGAGACGGACACAAGACGACCCCAAAGCCATGGTGATACTGAGCAGGGGTAACCACGCCCACCGCAGGTCAGCATGCATCTCACACCCACCGCAGGTCGACGTGCATCTCTTTGCCGTTGCAGGCGACGCCGGTGGGCCAGTGGCGGTGCGGCAGCTGTACTGAGAGCACCATGTCGGGCAGTGACTTGGCGAGCAGCGATTGGTCGATGAGGATGGGGTCTGACGCGATGGCGAAGAAGAACACCGGCACGTCCAGCTGGGCGCGCTCCCCCCGCGTGCGCTTCACTGGGAGACGAGGAGGGGGAGGGAAGAGGGACACAGAGGTTGGACGAGTAGAGAGGAGGGATAGGAGGGTGAAGAGGCAGGGGAGGCTTGCAATGGGGTGGCACAGAGAGTCACAGCAGCCAACACGCCCTCTCATCCATGCACCTCTCATTTTTCATCCCTGCCATCTCACATCGCTGCAGGCTGCCATCTCACATCGCTGCAGGCTGCCATCTCACATCGCTGCAGGCTGCCATCTCACATCGCTGCAGGCTGTCGTCCCCCAGTGACCGCAGCTGGTGCTGCAGCACGTGCGAGTCCAGGTACAGCTGCACGCGCCCCCCCGCTGACACGTTGCCAGCCGCGGACGCGGTGGGCAGCACGGCGGCGCGCAGCGAGGCGGAGAAGGCCGTTGCCAGGGCCGCGTCTTCTGCCACTGACAGCCTGGCGGGCATGCAGAGGGGGGGGGGGGGGGCGGGGGGATGTGGTAGGGAGAGGAAGGGGCGACGAATTGGCAGCGGGCAGCACGGCGGCACGCAGCGAGGCGGAGAAGGCCGTTGCCAGGGCCGCGTCTTCTGCCACTGACAGCCTGGCGTGGGACAGGGGGACTAGGGGAGGTGGGGGGCGCGGGGATGGTGAGGAAAGGTAGGGGCGAGTAAGGAAGGGGTGAAGTGGATGGTAGCGGAGAAGGCCGTTGCCAGCGCCGCGTCCTCCGCCACTGACAGCCTGGCGGACATGCAGAGGGACGGGGGGTGGAAGGTGGGGGAAGGATAGGGTGATCAAGGGGAGGTTGGGGCGAGTGGGAAAGGTGGGTGGTGGCAGTGGGAGGCACGCATGGTGCGGTGAGATGTGAGCGGCATGTCAGAAGGCCCAGACAAAGGAACCCAGGAGGTAATGCGAGTGGAAATCAGCAGCAGCGTTGCTTTCACGCTCTGCCCCACGCGCACGCACCTGTAGGTGGAGTAGAGAACTGGAAGCGCACGCACCGGTAGGTGGAGAACTGGAAGCGCTGGCCCGGCAGGCAGAGCTTCTGCACCTCGGTCTTGAAGTCCTCCACGTACTGTGGCGTGTGGCGCCTCTCGTAGTACGCCTGGTGGGGGAAGGAGGGGAGGTGTGGAGCGAGAGGGAGCGCCAGGGTGGGCATGAGGTTGAGGTCGTGATGTGCGCCCATGCAGGCTTGCCATCGTGCTCAATCCATGTCATAACATGGCCCTTTGCACACAAGTCCACACCACATCATGTCACGCCTTGCCACGCCATGCCACGTCACCCCAAGCGCCCCACCTGGTGGGAGATGATGTAGAGGTGGAAGGACACGCGCTCGTAGAAGTGGTACGCGCCAGCAGCTGTGGACGGCGTGATGACGTGGCGCATGGCGGACGCCAGCGTGGACGCCAGCTCAGCCATGAGCATGTCCCACGCACGCGTCACTGCAGGGCTGCTCTCCCCCGCCTCGCCCTTGCCCGCATGCCTGTCGGGCGGCACGCTTTGGAACTTCCAGCTGTGCAGGCGCTCCAGTGCCGCCCGCACGCTGCGCCCTGTGAAGACAGTGCCAGCAGTGCCAGCAGTGCCACCCCCCCCCTGCTGCTTGGCGACCTCGTCCTTCACCTCCTCCAGCTTCTGCTGCAGCTCTGCGGGCAGCACACGTGGGACAAGGGCGAGGGGGGCAAGAGGGGTGCAGTGGTGTTGGTGCGCACTGGCAGCGTGGCGGTGCTCTTCATGCACGCACCCAACATGCAGCACCCAGGCCAAACGACCCCCCCCCCCATTGAACCAAGCATCATGCAATGCATGCACGGAAGCAGGACCAGCCACCCCTTGCCCACGCCCACCCACCACGGCAGAGAGCACTGGGGACGGCGCGGTGAGTGCAGTGGCGGGCGGCGAAGGCGTGGTAGACGTCGAGCTCCGCCAGCAGCACGTCCACCCCGTGCTGCCCCTCGCCCTCACCGCCCTCCCCCTCCTCCACCGCCTCCAGCCTCTCCTCCGCGATGCGCTCCAACCGCCCCCTCAACTCGCCCTCCCACGCCTCTGCACCGCACCGCACCCCACACACGCACGCACACATGGGGTTGGTTGATGAGACAACAAGCGACTGACTGGGAGGAGCACAGGAGGCGATGTGAGTGGTGTGCCACGGGCAGAGTCGGTGTGGACGAGGTGAGGCGGGGTGACAGGTGGATGCGGTGCAATGCGGTGTGAGGGGGTGCAGGGAGGCGTGAAGGCAGAGATACACTTGCATTGTACGCGAACCTTACCGGAAAGCCGTGTGCGCCCACCCCACGGTACGGCACGGCACGGACCTGAGGAGGAGTGAGAGAGGGCGTGGAAGTATCGATCCACGGAGGGTAGGCTGGCCTCCGACCTCACTCCCCATGCTGCACTGCCACCCACCCCCACATCCACCACCACCACACTGCTGCTGCTACTGCTCCACTTTCTCCCCATGCCACTGCTGCTGCCGTTCCCCCCTGCCGCACCACCACCGCCACTACTGCCAGCAGCAGCAGTGTTGCGCAGAGCAGTGGGGGGGGCAGCAGCAGCAGCAGCAGCGCGGGGGGTGGAGGGGGAGAGAGGGCCCCAGGAGAAGGGGCCAGCAGAGAGGTCGATGAGCGCCCACCTGGTGGTGAGGAAGGGGGTGTTGACAGAGGGGTGAGGGTGGGGGGCAGCGATGGGGAAGTGGAGGGGCAGTGCACGCACATCCAGCACCCCTCTGCTTCCATCCAACAACCTCCATCCGCTGTCCCATCTGATCCTTCGCTTCCCATCCTCCCACCTCACCCCCTTCCACTCTCCCCACACCCCTTCTCCACCCGTCCCCCCCTCCCCCTCCCCGCCCCACCTGCGGGTGCCAATCCACGTGTCAGTGAGGCACTGCTCCTGCCAGCTGGCATCGGCCTCTTGCAGGGCGGCGCGCAGGGCGCGGGCGCGGCGGGGGTCCCCCGAGGTGAGCAGCTGCTGCGCCTTGCGGGCGGCGTTGGCACGCGGGTCTCCCCGCTCGCTCACCACTCGCTCCACTGTCCCCAGCAGCGCTGTCACCCGCGCCGCCCACGGCAGCTGCGCACACGTACGGGTTTCAGGTTTAAGGTTTAGGCGGGGAGGGGGGAGTGGGGAGGGGGAAGGGGAGGCGAGGGGGTTGTGGTGTGCAGCAGGTGGGAGTGCGTGGCAGCTGCGTTGTCTGTGGCGCACACGCAGTGGCATGTTGCCTCGGAATGGTCCGGATTGCGCGTTGTTGGTTGGATGCACGCACGCACACACATGCAGGTGGGTAGGGCACTGGGAATGATGCCATACCACCACTGGCACAGCCCCAGTTGAGGCAGCACAAGAAGCGACCTACTGCAAGGCTCAGCAATGCGGCTCACGATTTCATGCGGCTCTATGTGGCGCCACGCTAGCTTGTGCCCTGGGCGCGAGGAAAAGAGTGGCTGTGGCACGTGCTGCTCGTCTGGAGTGGGGAGGGCAGAGGGGTGGTGGAGAGGAGTGAGTAGGGAGAGGAGATGAGGGAGCGCTTACCCAGCAACTTATAACGAGTACAGCCCACTCACCCAGCAACCTATAACGAGTCAGCCCATTAACCCAGCACCTTATTAAGGGTACAGACCACTCACCCAGCACCTGCGGCACCTTCTCCAGCCCTGGCGACAGCAGTTGCTGCCTCAGCCGGTCGTCCTGCCCCCACCACAGCAAGGGGGGAGGGTGGAGGGGGTTGGGGGAAAAGCGGCGAGGGGGGGAAGGGAAGAGTGATGGAGCGGGGAAGGGGTGTCGATGTGGCATCCCATCGGGAAGGACGGATTGGGCGGGGTGGGTTTGGAGAGAAAGGCATACAGGGAGGAGGACAGGGTCCGGGTGGGTGAGGAATGAAAGGGAGACAAGTGAGTGGAGCAGTGGTGGGTGAGATGCATGGTGATCCATGGTGCATGCACACAGGATGGTGCAGACAAGGCGGGGGACACAGGCGGAGAGCAACTGGGAGAGGGTGCGAGGGAGGGGAGTGGAAGAGGGATGGGTGCATGGGGCATGGGGCATGGTGCATGGGGCATGGGGCATGGGGCATGGTCATGGTGTATGGTGCATGGTGCATGGGGCATGGGGCATGGTGCATGGGGCATGGTGCATGGTCCATGGTGTATGGGGCACGGGGCATGGGGCATGGGGCATGGGGCATGGGGCATGGGGCATGGGGCATGGGGCGTGGGGCATGGGGCATGGGGCGTGGGGCATGGGGCATGGGGCATGGGGCATAGGGCATGGGGCGTGGGGCATGGGGCATGGGGCATGGGGCATGGGGCATGGTCCATGGTGTATGGGGCATACCGTCTTAAGCATGTTGAACTCTGCATTGGACAGGCCGAGCCTGCAACAGGACCATGTGCAGGGAGGGGCGAGAGGGGTGGAATGTCAAGGGGCGAAAGGTTGCTTACGCAACAACACAATGAGGACGACAAACAAGCATTACAACCCCATGACATACCACCCCGCACCACGGCCTCACCTGTACCACCCCGCACCACGGCCTCACCTGTACCACCCCGCACCGCACCACGGCCTCACCTGTACCCATATCGCTTGCGAGAGCGCGCACGGTTGAGGTTGAGCACAATCACATTGTACGCGGAGGCGTCGAGCTGCAGCGAGTCCACGAGGCTGTCCAGCACATGCGCCATCGCCCCCATGTCCACCTGATGGTACTGCTGCTGCCCCGCGCCACCCCCCACGGATGATGATGATGCGGAGGAGGCGGAAGAGGAGGATGAGGAGGAGGGGTGGTGGGGGTGTGGGGGCGAGTCGGCGGGGTCGTCGTCGTCGTCAGAGGCGGCGGTGGGGTCGTCGGGGCGGGAGAGCGTGCGCACTGCTGCTTCGAAGACAGAGGCCACGCGCTCGCCCATCTCCATCACATGCACCGTGTAGCTGGAGGGGGGGGGGAGGAGATGGGGTGTGCATGCGTGCCACACATGTGAGACGCAGCACAGGGGGGATGAGGAATGGCAGGGAGGGAGCAGGGTTGCACAGCAGCGAAACTCATTCCCAGGCATGATTCAATGCAGGTGGTCAGAGCAGAGTGAGACTCATGCCCATCATGCTTGAACGAAAAGACAAGGTCACTCAAACAGGTATGGTGGAGTGGAGCGAGGGAGCAAGGATGGAATACGCGGTGCAGCTCACTTGTAGTGCACGCTGCTGATCAGCGGCAGGTCATGCTCGAACCCCTCCGCCTCCCCCTCCTCCTCCTCCTCCTCCTCCTCCTCCTCCTCCTCCTCCTCCTCCTCCTCCTCCTCCTCCTCCTCCTCCTCCTCCTCCTCCTCGTCATCATCATCACTGCGCACCACCTCCCCGCCCGCCCCCATGGTGTGGGCGAGGCGGGCGAGGAGGGAAGGCCAGTTGAGGGGTGCGCGCGTGTGCTCCTCCACGTGGTCCATGCGCTGCAGCCACCGCCTCATGTCGCCCTCCCGCATGCGCATGCCTGCTCGCACACCGGTGGGTGGGTGGGTGGGTGGGTTACGGTAGGTGGGTGAGTGCCAGGAGGGTGAATGGATGCACGTGGCAGGGGGGCGGGCGCACATGCATGCTCAACTGGGCAAGGAGTGAGGGTGTGCATGTGGGTGAGTGGGGGTGCAGCCAGCCAAGGCTGCCCATAACCCACAGTGGTGGCACCCTGCAGTCATTGCCACCCACTCTGCTTGCCACCCACTCTGCTTGCCACCCACTCTGCTTGCCACCCACTCTGCTTGCCACCCACTCTGCTTGCCACCCACTCTGCTTGCCACCCACTCTGCTTGCCACCCACTCTGCTTGCCACCCACTCTGCTTGCCACCCACTCTGCTTGCCACCCACTCTGCTTGCCACCCACTCTGCTTGCCACCCACTCTGCTTGCCACCCACTCTGCTTGCCACCCACTCTGCTTGCCACCCACTCTGCTTGCCACCCACTCTGCTTGCCACCCACTCTGCTTGCCACCCACTCTGCTTGCCACCCACTCTGCTTGCCACCCACTCTGCTTGCCACCCACTCTGCTTGCCACCCACTCTGCTTGCCACCCACTCTGCTTGCCACCCACTCTGCTTGCCACCCACTCTGCTTGCCACCCACTCTGCTTGCCACCCACTCTGCTTGCCACCCACTCTGCTTGCCACCCACTCTGCTTGCCACCCACTCTGCTTGCCACCCACTCTGCTTGCCACCCACTCTGCTTGCCACCCACTCTGCTTGCCACCCACTCTGCTTGCCACCCACTCTGCTTGCCACCCACTCTGCTCGCCACCCACTCTGCTTGCCACCCACTCTGCTCGCCACCCACTCTGCTTGCCACCCACTCTGCTTGCCACCCACTCTGCTTGCCACCCACTCTGCTTGCCACCCACCCTGCTTGCCACCCACCCTGCTTGCCACCCACTCTGGTTGCCACCCACCCTGCTTGCCACCCACCCTGCTTGCCACCCACCCTGCTTGCCACCCACCCTGGCTGTCACCCACCCTGGCTGCGACCCACCGTGCATGCGACCCACCGTGCATGCCACCCACCGTGCATGCCACCCACTGTGCATGCCACCCACCCTGCTTGCCACCCACCGTGCATGCCACCCACCCCAGATGCCACCCACCATGCATGCGACCCACCGTGGTCACCAGTGCCATTAAAGCCGATGAAGATGAGGTTGACGGGGATGGGCACGTGGATGGCACGCACTGGTTTCAGCCCCAGATATTCTGCCAGGTTGCCTGCCACCCGCCTCCATTGCACCACCCAATACAGTCACACGGGGGTTGGAGCGAGAGTGAGGACAGCGAGGGTAGAGAGGGCTGGGGGGGAGACAGTAATGGAATTCGCAGGGTGGCGCTGCTGCAGGGAGATGTGCCCTGCACAGCTGATATGATATGATATCATCTGACCTGATCTGATCTGATCTCACATGATGCCACCAGCCAATCCGGGCATGCCCAAACACACGCTTTGCAACGGCACGAAGCTCATGTGGGGCGCGCACCTTGCTTGACGTAGTGGTCCACCTCGTTGTACCCGTTATAGAACTTGCTGGGACGCTTCAGGTCGTCCCACGCTGCAGCCGCGCATCGTGACGCACGTTGGCAGGGGTGGGGGGGAGGGGGGGGCAACGGAGCAGGGGTGGATGGGCACAAAGGTGAGCAGGGAAGACAGAGATAAGGAAGACGAAAAGAGGGAGACTTGTTCGCGGCAATGGGGGAGGGTGAAGAGCTGGGACGACGGGCAACGGGAGTGACACAAGGGAGCTTTGTTGAAAGGCAAAGGAGGCAAAGGCATGTGCACGGCAGGAGAAGGAAGTGCATAAGCGATGGGAAAAGGGATAGAGGAAATGCGGAGCACGATCATTGTCCACGCACGCTGGATGCGGCTGCGCGCAGCAAGATAACACCGTGAGGAGGACAAGGAAGGAATGAGTGTAGCGAGAGCAAGAAACGTGGTCACAGCAAGGAGCATGATCCAGGCCGTACACTGAAGCAGCAAATCATCGTCTGACAGCTGGCCTTCATCCTTGGCGTCGAACATCGCGAACATTTCGTCCTTGAGATTGCCGCTGCGCGCCGCGTGCACCTGCAATCAGCGATCGCGAAGCGCGATTTATTTCAACTCGTGAAACAGTGAATCGATCCTAAAGCGGCTGAAAGTCCAAAGCACTCAGAATGGTGATACTTGGCGAAAGGAGGACCACGTCAGGAAGCACAGAATGACGACCTTACCTGAATCCCCGCGTCCCATGCTGTTGCGATCAGCACCGAAACCACAAGCAGGACCTGACCTAATCTTCTTCCATGTTTTTCAAACCCTAATGTCCCCATCGCGTGTGGACAGGGAACGTCAAAGCTATGGTGCCCTTATGCTGCGCACATCACGCGGAGCTCTAATCACTACCAGGTGTTACGAGTGCAATTGCGCGAGCGAGCGAGAATTGCACTATCGAAGCAAACAGTCCAATGAGCGAAGGCATGAGCGAAGAATATATAGCGAACTAGAGTGGTAACGGCAACAAAAATTGGGGTGCGCTACGGGCCTAGCGCCGAGGTTGGGAAATGTCGAGGCGGAGGTCCGGAGCGCGGGTTACCAACCGAACCGTGAGGTTGGGTCGCATCGTGAACAGTGGCGGGAGTCGTAGTCGAGGAGAGTGTCGCGAGCGGGTAACGTTTCACTGTTGGGTGCCGATGGCGGGAATGGTCTTGTACGCGGTAAGTAGGGGCGCGAAGTAAGGAAAATGAATTTTCCTTAGACTACCCCCCTCCCCAAGGAGGCCCTCCTTACGAGAGCGCGTGTACATCTCGAAAATTTCGGCTGCGCAGATACTCAGTGAGGACAGTGTGATTTTCAATTCTATCCAGGGGAACCCAATTGTCTTCGGTGGGCGTGTGGTCTTTCCAACAAATAAGGAATTCGATCCTGCAGGCTCCCCGTGGGTCACGTACTCGGTGGCTCAGTATTTTTTCAAGCGAGATGATTGGCTCTGTCGGTGGTCGTGTCATGCTGGCGGGGCGGTTGCGAGGCAGTTGGCTGGTGGATGGCACGTAAGGGCGAAGCAGGCTGACGTGGAATGACGGGTTGGCGTACCAGTCAGCAGGGCGGAGAAGGCGGGCGGTGACGGGTGTGATCATGTGGCTGATGCGAAATGGCCCGCAATATCAGGGGCGGAGTTTCGGGGTGATGGGCAGGCGGAGGTTTAGAGTGTCGAGTAGCACGAGGTCGTCAGGCTGGTAAGTGACGGGTCGGCGGTGGCGGTCGGCGTTACACTTAGCGATGAAGTTCTATTTTTTTATTACGGCTGCTGTCGGGTCTGTGCTGCTTGTAAAATCTCTGCGAACTGTTGCGCGTGTGGCACCGGGTTGTCGGGATTCGGAGTCATGGGTACTGTGGGGTCTTGTCCATAGTTCAGGTAAAACAGTGACTGTTGGGTCGTGGCGGATGGCGATTTGTTGTACGCGAACTCGATGAGTGGCAGGTGCTGTTCCCAGGTGGTCGGGTTGTCGCACGTGGCTCGGATGAGTTGCTCCATGGTATGGTTTGTCCGTTCTGTCTGTCCGTCGGTCTCGGGGTGGTACGAAAAACGGGACTGTAGTCGCGTGCCGAACTGCTGCCACAGGTTCCGCCAGAAGTTGCTGGTGAATTTCGTATCGCGGTCGCTGATGATTGATGCTGGTATCCCGTGCATTCGAACGACGGTGAAGATGAAGAGGATGGCTGTTTCTTCGGCTGTGATCGATTTCTTGCGGGCTGCGAAATGTGGCATTTTCGTCAGCCGATCGACGACGACTAGGATCGCGTCATTCCCACTTGCTCCAGCCATTAACCCCGTGACGAAGTCCATCGTCACCTGCTGCCAAGCATGCTCTGGGGGTGGTATCGGCTGCAACTGTCCTGCCGGCCGCTTCCGTGATGACTTCATGACTTGGCAGGTGGGACACGATGCCACGTGTCATTGCACGTCGGTCAGCATTTCGGGCCAATAGTAATATCGCTGCAGCTTCTGCCGTGTTTTCTCTACTCCGAAATGTCCTGAGGTAACCCCGTCGTGTGCCTCCTGTAGTAACAGCTCCCTTAGTAAGGTGTAGCCCAGTACCCAGATGCGGTCGGTGACGGCTTTTATGTAATAAACCCCCTTTGCTGCTGCGAACTGCTGCGAATTTCCTCCTGTGAAGAACGGGTCAGTTTTATAGCTGTGGGTAAATAGTCCTGTTAGTAGTGGGCTGGTCTGGGCGAATAGTATGGCGTGGATTTGGGCAGTGGGGCGGGTCAGTGCGTCGGCAATGTTCGATGTGAAGAAACAGGAATCAATTGAACTAGGAAAGTGTGAGATACAAATATGAAACCTGTACCCCTTAGTGTCTACCCCACTACAGCCTACACAGGCTAAGGCATATATATCTGACACACCCCCATAGGCAAAGTGGGGGAGAACTAGGGGTCACAAGACCAGTCAAGCAAAGCAAAGCAAAGCAAGCTCAGGGTGGATCACAACGTCACCACACAGTCTGAGCACCGGTTCAAAGGCCACAAGGCCAGTTCACATGCAAGTTCATATATAAAGGTAAACAAGCAAGTGCAGGTATATATAGATCACAGTACAAGGAAAGTCAAGAGGTAAGCAAGTGAGGCCAAGTAGGCACAAGACCTAGCATAGTACAGAAGCGCTGATGATCACAAGGCTGAAGTGCCTTGGTAAAGATATCAGCAGTGTTGGCCTGAGAGGCCACGTAAGCAAGGCGCAGCTGACCACGCTGCTGCAGCTCACGAGCAAGGAAGTAGCGAAGAGCAATGTGCTTCGTTCTGTGCTCCAGTCTGTGCTCCCGACACAAGGCCAGCATAGCCTTGTTGTCTACGTACAGAACTGGAGGAGAACGAGGCGGCTCTCCCAGGTCAGTCAGCAAGTAGGTGAGCCAGCGTAACTCCTGTGCAGCCATGGCCCCTGCGTAGATCTCAGCCTCACAGCTGGAGCTGAGAACAGAAGACGAGCGAGTAGACCGCCACGAAACAGAGCCGGAACCAAGGCTGAAGGTGTAACCCTGTGACGACCGCTGCGTAGCCAGGTCGTCAACCCAAGACGTGACCAGTGAGGACCACTGGACTCCGCCCTCCAAGCACTAGCCCCAAGCCCGAAGTACAGCACAAGTAGCGCAACACCCTCTTCGCTGCAGCCATGTGCTCTGGTCGGTGTCTCCCAGGAGCAACATAGCGTGCCAGGATGCTCAGAGGGTATGCTAGGTCAGGTCGAGTGCAGGTCATCAGGTACATGAGGCAGCCAACAAGCTCTGGGTACGGGCCACTCGGCTCTACGGACTCATCCGAAGGTAGAGCTGAGAGCGAGTGGCGAGTAGACAGAGGAGTGGCTTGAGGCGAGGAGTACGTGAAGTCGAAGCGCTGAAGGACCTGCTGCACCATGTGTGACTGAGTCAGGGTAATGGTGCGCCGTGCTCTGTCCCGGGTGATCTGCAAGCCAAGATAGCTGCGCAGTTCACCCAGGTCTGTGCACGTGTGTCTCTTCTGCAGCTCGGACTTCACGTGGGCGAGTCCAGCAGTGTCAGCTGTAGCAAACACCAAGTCGTCGACGTACACGAGGATGTAGAACGGCGGCAGCAAAGTGTCGGTGCGAAGAAACAGCGACGGGTCAGCAGTGGAAGGAGCAAACCCAAGAGCCGCAAGCGTAGTCCTCAGTGTGTCGTGCCACTCACGTGGCGCCTGGCGGAGACCGTAGACTGGCCGTCGGAGGCTCCACTGGGTATCAGGAGGAAACAACCCAGTGAAGCCAGGTGGGCGGCGCAGCCAGATCTCCTCGTGCAGACTGCCCTGTAGGAAAGCAGTGCTGAAGTCAAGGGAGTGAAGCTCGTAGTCACGCTGAGCAGCAACGTGTAGCAGAACCCGAAGAGTGGTCATCTTCGGGGTCGGGGAGAAGGTCTGAAAGTAGTCAACTCCCTGCCGCTGACTGAAGCCTCGAGCCACGTAACGCGCCTTGAAGACAGGCGGAGAACCCGGCGGCCACTTCACCCTGAAAATCCACATGCCACTGACGATGTTCGCCCCAGGTGGGGGAACCTCGTCGACGTAGGTGCCTGTGGACTTCCAGGAAGCCATCTCTGCATCCATGGCTGCCTGCCACTGAGAGGAGTAAGGACCCTCTATCGCCTCTGCGTAAGAGCGCGGGGTCGGGATGTCTGGTGCATCCGGGTCTCCCTCAGGGGCAAGCAGCGTGGACACGAGATGAGGTAAAGCAGCAGCAAAACACTGGAACTCCTCCTGTCGGTCCTCAAGGACGTCCGTGCTAAGAGCACACTCACCCCCGACGGACGGAGGACAGACAGACGCAGACTCAGCAACAAGACTAGCGGCGTAGTCTAGACGACAGTGAGCAGCGAAGTCGACAAGCTCGGTAACTAAGGCAGACGCAGCAGTGGACTCAAAGCAAGGGTCAGTGACAACAGTGGCTAGGAAACGCGTGACAGTAGGACTGGCAGCACGAAGGGAGTCAGACGCAGGGTCAGCAAGAGTAGGAAGAGAGGACTCTGGAGGAGACGGCAAAGGGACACGCTGTGGCGCTGTGGAAGGACGCAGTGCCATCTGATGCGTGCCCGGGACTGCAGGAGGACGCGGACGTGGAACACGACGACTAGTGCGAGCAGTGCGAACAGGCGACGCAGGACGCGACTCAGGGTCACGACGCTCAGCAAGACCTCCAGTAGGACCAGCGTAGGGAGAAGGAGCAGGCAGAGGGGAGACCAGCTGTAACTGTGACTCGGACTGGACAGGCGGGGGACACTCTAAGGAAGGAGCAGGAGGAGAAGAAGGCGGAAGACCAAGAACCTGCTCAAGGAGCGGAACGAAGTACGGTCGCGGCCGCGCAGCACCTCCAGAACCAGCAGGAACAACACCAGTGCCCCCAGCGTCAGCTCCAACTCTAGCAGGATCACCAGCTCTAGTACCTCCAGCAGCTCCAGCCCCAGCAGGACCACCGGCAGACACAGCCGCTCCGGCTCCAGTACCTCCAGTAGCACCCACTCCAGCAGCCCCACCAGCTCCAGCTCCACCAGTAGCTCCAGCACCAGGAGCACCACCAA